GCCAAGAGCCCCTGTCAGGATGCCAGCTAAGGCCTTCTTCACTTGGGTAAATCTCTCAGCCTCAGCAATTATAGCAATAATATTTTGGCTTTCAATCTACCCAGCTCCCTCTTACCCAAACCCTAACCTGAGCCCCAACACCTTGCCTTCACGTCACCCTGGGAAAGCTCCAGGGAAGTAGTTAGGACGTGAACTAAAATCACAAGACTGATCCTGCTGTGACTCACCGCTTTCACTCCTCGCTGAAGATGCCCGTGTCCGCTTCAATTAACTCACTACCGAAAAGAGCTGCACAAAGGCATCTTTAGCCTTAGCTCAGCACCCAAGTGAGGGACAGAAGTGGAACGGCTACCGCAGGCTGCTTCTCTGGGCAGCCATGCCATGCCTCTGCTGTGCCCAATGCACCTCCCAACCCTTGTCTCCCTACAGCCGGAGGCTGCTGGCAGCGCCGGGGTTGTACCATCAGCACGTGCCTGCCTGCACAGATAACCTAGAGGTTTCCCAGCAGATGGGGAGCCCCACTTCCTCACACCTGCTCTGCTCCTGCCTCCCCCTCATCTTTAGCAGCAGGTATTTGGGGCAGGTCCATCCTCCCCACCAGCCCTCTGGAAAAAAAGAAATGCTACACAGCAGCCTGAGCACATGGAGGTGCTCAGCACCAGCAAAAGGAGCAAGGACTGAAACCTCAGTTACCTTCCAAGTACGGAGGGGGACAGTTTGACAAGAGCTGGGCAATCTGCACTCAGGCAGAGGCTCACAGCAGCTGCCTGCTTGCTCTTTTGGACAGCAAAATCATTTCAGGCTGCAGGAGCTGCTCGTCTGGCCCTTTCCTGTGTCTGGATGCAATGTCACAGGCACAGTGCCTGTGTGCAGGCACCATTTTATGTCCTGCCCGAGCCCTAGGGAAGGTGTGGGCAGTGGGGTACAAAGGGGTACAAGGCTTATCACCAGAAGCACAGACAACTCCGCTCTCACCCCCCTCGCCTCTCTGTTTATCCCAGATGCTCCTTTCCCAGCTGCTGCCCCTGGAGCCTGAGTCCACGCTGGCGGAAGAGGACACGAAGGAGGGGTCCAGCTTTGGCCCTCAGTTGCTCTCCTCCACCCTCCCCTTCCTCCCATCTGGAGCTAGAGCTGCCCGTCCCTCTCTCTGGCGCAAGACCCTCGCCAGTCGCAAGTGGGCACTGCCTGGAGATTGGGCCTGGAAGGCCATGCCCAGGGGCTGCTTTGGGCTGAAACTGGACCGGATCGGGACCTTCAGTGGTTTGGGCTGTTAGCCTTGGAGGGACTCCGAGGTGAGAGGGCCAGCAGTGAGGCCTCAAACAAGCGGGCAGGGAAGAAGTAAGGGGAGACTTGAGAGCACAGATGGCAGGGAGGACCAGGAGCGAGGGGACGAGGGCAGTGGGGCAGGCTGTGGGCTTCACCCTGCAGCCAGGGTGAAGGCTGGGACGCGGGACCACCCGTGCTACTGGGGTTGTGCTGGGGCCCGGCCGGGGCGTGAGAGCAGGCAGGCAGCACGCCGCTGGGCGGCTCACC